TCATACTTGATATAATTAAAATCTATTTACTGAATAATAATAAAAATTACATATACATTGATGAATAATAAAAACCGTTAACGATCACAGCGCTTGGCGGGAAGACATTAGGAGTGACACAAATTTGAAGTGGAAGCAGAAAACTTAGCGGTTTTTAGTTACTAAGCCATTTTGATTAATAATTTTCATTCCTAGTTAATTAGAAAATTTTTATAAATTGTGCTTGTATTCTCTTTTTAAAACATTGTTTAAAACGTATTTCAACTCGAGTAAAAACAACTTCAAGGTAATCTTTAATATTTAAAGTTTTTATTAAACAAGGAAAGCATGCTTAAATATGATACCTCAAATAGATAGCTTCACCTGTTTTAACTTTTTTAGTAAAATTATTAATCTGATGCGTGAATTTAATGTCAAATCAAAAGAATTTTACAAAACAGCCAAAATTATATTATAAAACAGACTAAATTCAACGAAGCAAACCCTATATTGCTTCTTTATTAAGATTTAATGCATGCCACTGGTTTAAGACCTCCTTTTGGTAATTGAAATTTTAAATTAATTCTGTCACAAAACAGAGCAAAAAAATTAAAGTTAATTTTTTTACCTGTAATTTTTGGTAATAAATTTGATTGTAAAAAAGTAACGGGTTAGAGAAAAATGTATTTTAAATTTAACCAGCTAAGCATACATTTGATATTACCATCAGATGATTGCAGTCTAACATGCTATTTCTTTACTTATAATATAAGAAACAAATTATTCATGGTTTTAAAATCTGATTTAAAACCTTAAAAAAAAGTGGGAAACAATGAAAATTTTTCTTTACAATAAGTGCATCAATATAAGTATTGCTCAATAATTTACAAAATTTATCAAAAGATTCTTTCTCTTAAAATTATGGTTTTATCCTTAACCCATCACTCAACATGAATGTATTTTTAAGGACAAAAGACTATTAAAAATGATGGTACTGCTTAATAATGCAAGGTTACATTTAACAATATAAATTTTTTTCTCTTTTTAAAGCAAATTTTCAATAAAAACTATTGTAATTAAAGCCCAGTATTGAGTTAAAGGAAATGAATACTTTTTAATTAAATTTGTCATGATTGTGATATAAAAAAGAAAAAAAATGATTGATTACATAGCTAAGTAAACATTTAATTAAACTAAAATAAAACATTATTATTAATTAAAATATTTTACAAAAAAAAATTGTATTTTTTGCAGCACTTGTTTAACATAGACTCTTAAGTATTTTTTGTATTTTATCCAGATTTTACTTTTTATTCTATAAAAACTATTCAACAGGTAGAAAAGTCAGTTAAAATTTAAAAATTAAATAGTTTGTATGTACCATGTTGTTTTGTCAATGTTACAGACACATTACTTAAAAAACATAAAATTATATTGAAAATTGTGGCACAAAAGGTGTTGTAAGTTGATTATGAAAAAACCAACAAAAGTGTATAAATGTATAATTGTATATAAAGTTGATTATGTAAAAAAAGGGGTAAATAATTTAAATTTTATATCATCATTTTTTTACTTTGGCATATAGGTTATAAAGTACACAAGGTTTAAAAATTTGAATATTTTTAATTATTTTTTTTTACTTTTAATTTTATTAAAAAACATTTCAGGCACTGTATACCTTTCATCAAGCCAAGTTATTAAAGCTATTAAACATTACAATCTTGGCTTATTATTTAATTTATTATAAAAAATATTAAAATTTTCAATCAATATTTTAAAACCATTATTACACAAACAATAAAACATTTACATCTTGTTATTAATTATTATACATTTATTGATTTATTTAAAATTTGTCATTTGAAAAAATAAAAAACATAAAAACAAACACAAATTTTAGAAATAATTTTCCACAACATCATTTTTCACAAAATTTTTTTTATCATACTTAAAAAATATGTATATAATACCAAATGTGTGTGGAAAAATAAATTTCCTTTTTCTTTTAAATGACAAATATTAAATATTTATGTAAATAATTTAATTTATTAAACGTTTATCAAATTATTAAAAAAAAAACAACACACCATTTAAATTTTTTTTTTTTTTTTAAATATTATTTAAATTATTATTACTAATTATTTTTTTGTTTGTTTTTTTTTTTCCAAAAAAAAAAAAAAAGACATTTATCACCGTGAAAACTTATTGAGTGTAATGTCATTTGTTTTTTTTTTTCCTTTTTTTGTAAAATTTTATGACTTGCGTAGAAATGTTAAATAACCTCGTGCGAATTTGTATGTGTTTGTGTGTGTGTGTTATCATCACGATTTTCAATGATAATTCATTCGTTGTTTAGTTGTCCGTACCTTTTTTTTTTCTCTAAAAGTTTTACTAAATAAATCATTTAAAACAAAAACAAAAATAGTTTTTAGTATACGAATTAATTTAAATACAGTGCACACATACACACACACACACACGTCGCGAAATCACGTTTTTTACATATTTCGTGTTTTTGTATATATAAGTCAATTATATATATAATACCTTTCTTCTAATTATAATATCTATTGTTTTAAGTCAAATATGTGTTTTTCTTTTAATTTTAAATTTAAAACAAAGCTAAATAATCGTGAATATTAAATAGTTTAAATTATTTTTTTCTATAAATTTAAAAAAAAAATTTATATTATATTTATTTATCGTGTAAATTCTAACTTACTTAAGAATAATTATTAATTAAGAAAAAAAAATAATATAAAATAAAATAAAATAAAATAAATTGATTTGTTATTACAAAAAAATATTACGTAATAAAAATAAAATAATTCAAAAGGATATAGATAGGAGGGGATTCCTCGCTCGTGATTGAAAATCATTCAATGTTTTGTTTTTTTTTTTTTTTAAATTTTTTTTTTTCGCAAACAAACATAAAAAATAAAATTGTTTGTTTGTTTGTTTTGTTTGTTTTATTTCTTATGTATTCATTCTTTTTTTTTTTTTTTAAATAATAATAATAAAAACTTTCACGTTTATTTTTACGTTTCACTTTTAAAGAATACTGGAAAAGAAAAAATTTTTTTTTATTAAATATTTTTATTATTATTATTATTTTTTTATATTCTCAAAAAAATTTAATTTTAGTTAATCGTTTTTTAGTAAAATTAGTATTAGTAGTAGTAGTAGTAGTAGTAATATTAGTATAATTAACATTCATTTTTAAAGTAATTCTTCTTTTTATTTTAAATAATTGCTGTTGCAATTTTACAGTGGTACAAAAAAAGAAAAGAAATTAAACCGCAATTATTCGAACTTTTGAAAATTACATAACAACAATTATAATACAATATTGGGAATATGTAATAATAATAATAATAATAATAAATCGTGGATCCCAGATTATTCATTAGGTTTCATAATATTTTAAACGCACACACACACACCGATATCACATAACATTATCAGATAAATAAAAATTTTTTTTGTTAATTAAAATAAATAACATGAAGGAAAATAATTATTATTAATTGTTAATAATTTATTTAATTATATACAAGTGATTATATTGATTATTTTATTTATTTAAACGAATAAAATAAATTATTTTTTATTAAAAAAAAAAAAAGTAAAAAAAAAGTAAAAAAATGAAAACGAGCAGAACGGTCATTATTGGTACAATAATAATATCATTAGTTATTATACTTATTTCGACAACATTTTTTTTAAGTCAAGGTAAAAACAAAATAAATTATTACTACTATCATTATCATTATCATTATTATTATTAACATTTCTATAAAATATTTGTAAAAAAAAGGAAAAGGAAAAAAAAAAGAATTTCAGCTTTGAAAAAGAAAACTTTTTTGTTTTAAAAACGATTTTTAAAAAAACTTAAAAATTTTACAAGCTCTGGTCTTGAACTGAGAAAAAAAATAGTAATAGTAATAATAATAATAATAATAATAATAATAATAATAATAATAATAATAATAATAATAATAATAATAATAATAATATTTTACGTATGTTTACATTTATTTTACGTGATAATCTACAGACTAAATAAAAAAAAAATTACTGAAGTACTGACTGATATATAAAATTAAATTGTATATATACATATATTTTTTTCGTTCTTCTTCGTGTTATAAAAAATTTATTATCATTATTATTATTATTATTATTATTATCATTTGGTTTTTACATTTAAAAAAAATGAAAACGTTTAAATCGAAAACCATTTTAACACCGTAAAGCATTTATTCATGCTTTTAAGAAATTTTTTTTTTTTTTTTTTTTCAATTTCATTCATTCATTCATTCATTCATTAAAGCGTAGAAGAACAAAAAAAAATGTCGCAATAAATTTTTTAAACATATAAACTTTTCAACAATACCTTATTAACTATAACAACAACAATAATAATAATAATAATAATAATAACAATAATAATAATAATAATAATAATTTTTTTAAGGTATTGTTTTAGTTTGTGCCAGTGAAAGTAAATATTTTAAAATAAATTATTTATTAGTTTTTTTAATATAAAACGACCGGGAAATTTATTTTAAAAAAATTTTCCGTAATTTATAATATTCGAATCAACAACTTTTTTTTTTTTTTTTTTTTTTGTTATTTCGAAAACAAACGTAACAATTTATTTTAAATTGATAAATAAATAAATAAATAAATAAATAGGAGACACACCTAAAAATTATACAAGTTTTTTTTTTTTTTTAAATTTCATGACAAGCATTCGTAAATTCTTTTATTTTATTTTTTTTTTTTGGAGGGATTTTATCGCCATTTTTTTTTTTTTTTAAATTCGATGCATATCGATGATGCAAAACAAAAAAAAAAAAAAAATTACCCGATATTTATTGATTTATAAATTTTAAATCATTAAAATTAAATTTTTTCAGATTCATGCAGTCGAGGAACTTTTATGTGTAGTAATTCGACTTTATGCATTCCACAAAAATCCATATGTAACGGTTATCCAGATTGTCCCGAAGGAGAAGATGAATCCGTTAAAATGTGTGGTAAGTTTATATTGTAAAATATTTAAAAATTAACAAT